ATGTGTTTCCAATGAAAACATGTTTTAACAAAATCAAGAAATGAACTGTATAAACGTTTGATGGTTAATGTGTAGTTTAAACCAATCAAATCATTGATAGTCAATTGTTCTAATTGAAATTATCAGGTTTATCTGTAAAATGAACTAGAGCTTTGGTTTGAAATGGTTTCCAATCAACATCACTTTGTAAAGCCTTCCCAAAAGGATACAGTAGTTAATAGTTAATTGATATTTTAGCTGTTGTCAACAAAGCATTCTATAAAGGATATGGATTTGCAATCGGTTTCCTATCAAAACTCCTTGTAAAGTCTTTTTAAAATCAATGAACATATTACCTTGCAATGTGCTTCCCGTCAATTATAAAGCAGTTTTGGATAGAGGGAATTCACAACTAAGAGAAAAGCTACTAGTGAGAGAAGCTACTAGTAGCTCCTGGCACTACTACTAGTAGCAAGAAGCTACTAGTAACAAGGGCATGACTACTAGTAGGAAGGTGCCTTACTAATATACGTAGTTTGCTATTGGTCTCTTAAGCTGTCAGGCACCAAACGTCCCATGGCAGAGCAAGCTGTGTAGGAAAGACAAGACTGTTTTGCCAAACAGAAGAAATAGCCCGAAGACAAAGTCTCTGGAGACCTCTGCGACCTCAAGACTGGTGCTCGACCAAGGAAAAAAATGATTCAGCTGATGTGGAAGCCTGCTCCATCATCCTCGGGTGTTCTACCATCCATCTGCACCACAAAACATGCCCACAGATCAAAGCCGTGATGATGCAAGCCGTGCTTAAGTAGTATTTTGACATCACTAGCACTGTACAAGTGGGCCTTCTGCATCATGGGCACGATAGTTTTGCAAGTTGAAACCTTTTCAGTGTCAGATACGGCTGAAGCTAAATTGAGATCTTGAAACAAGTAAAGAAGCTGCTCAACGCGGACAATGTTGTGCTTCAGCCGATGCTCTACAGACTTCCCTCGATCTTCTACTTTTCCACTTTGTAGGCACCGAATGCCACGCACCGGTCTCATCAGGTCCTGTCCCCGGAGCACGCTCTGCCATTGCCCCGCACGAGCGCAAGCAGCGCAGAGCGCCTCGCGGTGTTCGGAAGGCGAAGGAAAGAACTTCCGCCACAGTAGTGGCCACTTGGAGAGGTATTGGTTTGAGAGCTCCTACAAAATCGAAAAAAAATAGAAGTGCTCCTATCAAGAAACTGCTGCATGGGTCTTACATGGCAGACCTCATGTTCTTCACAATAGGGAGACGGAGTCCACTTTAGGCCAGGAGAGAATCTTCATCGATATCGGCTCGTTTTCGGCAATGGAGGCGGACCAGTGCCCAGGCTGCCATATGACATGGTTGTACACGGCGCACAGGGTATGCCCTTCTATGAATCAACCAACAACCAACCAAAGGGCATAAAAAACCATCTATGTCCCGACCACTGTAAAACCGCAGAACAGTGATGAAAATGAGAGACTGAGGGATGATCAGTCCATCTACTGTCATGTTGAATGACGAAGGCCCTGTACCCAGCGCGATCATCTCAACGGTGCTTTCTCAGGCCATGCTACTCAGGGCCATTCCGATTGCAACGAAATCGACATTTCCATGGGAACATCGGTATTGTCAAAGAGAAGGAGTGAGCCCAAGTCAGTGGATCTGCATCCGTAGTATCCCCACCATTCCCAAGAACTCAGGCTCCCACATTTTGACCTCATGCAGTGCAAACATTGGAATCTCACTGCCCTTCTGGTTAGCCTTCGAAACATGGTTTTCATCTAAGCTCTACAGTTTGGCCCATCTTCATCCATTTTCTACATCGATGAGACGTACTTCCTTGGTGCAGCTTGATTTTCACGAAGCAGATGTAGACTGGTACCCTGTCCAAATACAGGTATTTTGGGGTAAAGGTTCCCACAAGCAACCAATGAGTTCAGGAAAATGCACCTCCACATGATGTATTGGAGGGTGTGTCTCCATAGTTTTCTTTCAAGAACTAGTTGATCAGAAATACCGAAATACCTAACTAACTTGACAAAATAGACGGATTTGGACGATTCTTTGCAGAAGTCCCATTCAATCTCCGACTCCGACTCGTGGTCCAAAGACCGTTTCACGGTGGGACCGTCCACCGGACACTTGAAATCTCAACGCTGGACTCGTCCAGTCGACGATCTAAGAATGGTCTGACTAATCCGATGACCCCGCATGCGGAGGAATGTCCGAAGTACTTTCAATCGGTCCAAGTCGGATCGTCTTCAGCCCTGGACTTCGGTTGGACCGACTACATCTTCTTAGGATGAGACCGACTTCATCGATGCGGGCAATGGCGATCCTTCGAGGACCTTCGTCCCGATGCGGAGCTCCAAACAACCGAGCCTGTGTTCGACCGAGGGAGCCCCGCCCGAGGCGGAAACGGAGACTGTGGGGGGGGTCGAAGCAAGGTCCGTCGAGGTGGGGAAGCACTGGGAAGCGTTGCCCTCGACTTGAAGCAAGCACCCCAAGTGAGCGAGGAGCCATCTACCACTCCACCCACATCAGGCCCCAGTCAGCCCCCAGTCACTCCACCCATGGCTTCCAAGACCCCCAAGCGCCAACCTCCAGAGCCAAGCTGCTAATGGTGTCCAATCGACCACCTTGAGACCGAAAGTGCTCTGAGCACTCCAAAGCCTTGCACACGATGCGACACTGGAGGAACTCCTCTAAAACACTGATTTAAAAAAAAAAACACTATAGCAGGAGTCGAGGTGTGAGGTGTGATGGAAGTATGGAAGTCAAGATCTGCAGACTTGCCGGACTTTCCACGGACGTTTTCCCTTTAACATGAAACATCCACCAATTCCCGATCCTGGACCCCTTTTCTTCGCAAAAAGGTCAAACCTGGCCGAGAGGCGTAGGATGTGCAGCATCTTCTGTTTTGGATGTTTTTGTGCTTTTTCATGATGTCAAGAAGCCCATCTTCACCCAAATTCTGTCACCAACGCCACGAACCAGCGAACCTGCAAACCCCGAGACCTCCGTTCGACGGGGGTTGCACCTCTTGCCAGCCGCTGTGGCGGCCGCACTGCCCGATGACCGCTGTCAAACGGCGCAGGGCACTCGCTGAGGGCGGGGTCTGGGCAGGTGGTCGCAGGGAAAAGCTCCGGTGGGATCTGGGATGGGTAACGGATGGGTTGGTTGTAAAACTACTTGGTGAGGAAACAACACATATAATATATACTTAAATTAGAGTCGAGTAATTGATATGTGGTCAATTGGGTCAGGCAGATCTGGATTTTGGGGGCCAGGAGGCCGGGCCCCGCTAACAATACAAAACCAGCATGTTTTCAACTTGATCTTGCTCAAATGGTGGATCTGTCTGGATAATGGATCTTCGGGGGAGAAAATTCCTCAGCGACGCCACCTGCCTCGCAAGTTGGAGAACGATAGTTTCTCAAGGGACGAACGAAAGCAGCAGCGGAGCACAGCTTCCCACCCACGGCCTGCACCATGCCAACTCGGGCCTCCGCCCCTGCAAGCTGCAAAAGCTCTTTGCACTTGAGAAGGATTCGAAGAAAAACAGACATATTCCAGAAATCAGACATGGTCCTCCTCGGCCACGACCTTCTCAACATTGGAAGCTTGAGAGCTTCAAGCGTGGCGGAGGCGGGGGCCCCTCGGACGCAGTTTCGCACCCAAAAAGCCCCAAGTCTTCGTCCCTCTTTGAGACGTCCTCGGGGTGTGATGACTACCGGGCTGTTTCTGGGCACGGGCCAAGCGCTCGTTCGACATAAACATCGAAGTCTGGCCGTGGCAGGTCTTTGCGAAGCTGGAGGTCGTGAAACCTCAATGAAGCTCAACACATGAGTGGGAGTAGTCAATGACTCATATGACTCATATGGCATGGCACCAGGTGACCCTACGTGACCAAAAATGAACAGAAAAATACCAGGGAGGTCAACAGGGTTTGAAGTTCCACATTTTGATCCACTGCCACATGCCTTGTGCCATGCTCATTCCCGGTACCTCATCAGAAAAGCCTTCTTCCGAACCGGACCCGATTCTCAACGGGCGCCACGAAAACCTGGGGTCAAGAAGAGATTGATTTCAGGGAAGATGTACAGGAAACATCAGAAAACGATCAGGAAACCCTGGGTCGTCACCCCCAGAACGATGGGTTTCCTCTCGATGTTCAGCACGATCGACAGGGCTAACGATCAAGTGTCGAAACTCAGATCGCCCAACTCGATTGGCGAAAGTCGAGTCTAAACCTCACCACATCACTGGAACTGGAAATAGAAGAACATCTTCCAGTCACGTCAGACGGGGTGGTGTTTGGTCCCCTTTAAGTGAGTGGAGGTTCAGGGCACTTCCTCCAAAACTCCTCCATGGATAGCACCCCGTCGAACGTGACTGCTGGTTCCAACTTCTTGGTAACCTTCCAACTTCCAACGCAATTGGACTTATTTCTCGGCTCGTGAAACCTCCACACCCCACCCCCAACACCCCACCGTCTCGTTGGTTCCTGTGCGCACCTCCTCCCAAGCGGTGCATGTGCAGGTTCCCGCACCCGAGCCAGGCTGCAGCCGAAAAACTCACCGGGCTCTCCACATGTGTTACGCCAGTCACACGAAGTGGGTTGGCCACTATTCTTGTTGAGTCTCTATTTCCATATTACGTACCACTCTTGGACTGGTCGTGCTTCTGTAGTCTATTTCCGCTCTACAGCTGGGGTTGTAGTCGATGTTCCCTTCTCAATTTTGCTCGCTTCTGTATGTCAGCTCGACGCCGTCACCAGCCCCCTCGGGGGCGCTAGAACGACAGACCCCTGCAACCCATGGGCCACAGGATGTACTGTTGGTTGGTGGATCGGCCGACGTGTGGACGTCCTCTTCGTTGCCCCCCGGAAGACGAACCAGTCCGGTCTGCACTCGGAGGATTCCCAGTCCGAGGTCCGGTCCATGGATGTTCAACGTTCGCCTCGCTCGAATTCAGTCCGAAACCGAGTCGACATCGCACTCAGCCTGTGAACAACGGCCGGAAGAGAGAGCTTCGCGCAGGGCTGGCCTGGTCGTCCAGCTGTGAAGCAACAGATCGAATGTTTCCACCACTTGGATTGCTTTAACTCCTCCTGCAATCCAATTGTGGAAACATGGCTCCTTTTGTCAACACCACCCCAAGTCCAGGTCAAACAGTGTTTCGCACTTGAAACTTCTGAAGGCACATTTCAATCAAAACACAGGGGGGTCCAGCAATAGTTGGAATATGTTGGAGTCTTACGTGAATCAGCAACTTTTCGCTGGTCCTCCACTCCGGTCGTACCCGTACGCAGAGGCCCAGATCCGGCCCAAAGAATCAGGGGTCGCTTGAGGGGGTCGAAGATTGCATGCGAACTATTGAAAATTGGATGAACATCCTAATGTAGACTCATGAGCTTCCTGGATGTACAGTATAATTCTCTATGTAATTGGTGCTTTTGAACCTCTTCATGAAAGTCTGAGTAGAAAGGTCCCACTTTCCGCTCGGATCCACCCTACGTCGCTAGACCCCGACTCCGCAAGGTCCGCCAACCAAGGCGCAGGAGCCGCTCGTATTGAAGCTGGAGGTGTTGAACCTCGAGCCGTTCGACCCGGTCGACCAGGTGAGACCACCTTCGACCGGTTGTACCGTGACGCACCTGTGGACCCGGTCGGTCGAAGTGATTGACACTGAGGAAGCAGTGACTGGTCTCTGAGAGGAATGCCAAGAGTCCGCTTGCGACTCTGAGTAGCTGGGATCTTGCCACGAAGGCTTCAAGTGAAAGCCTTTAAGTCTTCTGATCGTTCATTGGGCAAACAATCCATTTCTGACCAGTTTTCGGTAGCAGTAGGGTTGAATGCCACCAACAAATTCTGGTTTCCAGATGTTTCCAGATATTGCTGGTACAAGGCACCACAAATGAGAGAACCATAGCCAGCTGAGTTCTCCTACATACAGAGATCTCTTCTGGTGGCCGCCCAAGGCCTTACTCAGCCTTATATACTCACAAAGGTGTTTGACAACTACAGGAATCAAAGGAGACCTTTTCCAGAAGCATCTGTTCTTTTTGATCCCTGAGGACTTCTCACCAGACTTGGGTTCTTCCCGACCTCTGTCAACAGGCCTGTGTCCTAACAGCCAGAATCCCTGGCCGCAACAGCAACTTGGGGGGTTCGAACTTATCCAACCACTGAAAACCAACCACCCTCCCAAAAATAAACCGCCTGCGGGAGAGTTTCCCGCGCAGCTTCCTGGCAGCAAGAAGGCGAAACCAATACAAAACTCGAGCGTCTATCAGGTCGAAAATTGAAATTTCAAGGTGCAATGAATGGTTGTTGACTTTGTATGGAGGGAAAAGCTACGTTGCTACCTCTTGAGGGGGTCACAATGAGGGACCAGTGCAAGTAATAGGACATGAAGGGTTCTTCTGCTCAAAAGTCCATCACCATCTCTGCTCTTAAAACTCAATGTTCCCCCCGAGCCGACACGCTGTGCGGCTGTGCGGGGGTCAATTAAACCCACAGGCCCCACTGCCCTCGCAGCATACTCCAACCACCCGCAGCTCAAGAGAAAAGGATTATCCCGGCAAGCGACCTCAGACAGTGCTGAGAAAATGATGTTGTTGTCCTAGTGGTGGTGGTAGCGTCTTGAAAAAGAACAATCCTTACGGGAGCCTTTCTTCCTTCAGCCTGGGGGCTGAAGGCCCAAAAACTGCAAGCGCAAAGCCGTGTGCCAATGAAGCCCACGCCGCCAGAAGCTGGCCCCAAGCTTGTAGGTTGAGATACAGGGCTCAGTCGAAAGGCTGCAGGATACACTGCGCAATGACTGTGGATTGCAACACAACTGGCAGAAGGGACACTGAAATGTCACGCGGCACTTGTTCTGCGACGCTTGCTGTTTCTGCGCTTCCGATTTGGGAGCGTTAGAAATGGCTGCTTCAAACAACTCTACACACTCAAGGCTTGAAATGACGCTGAAGTAACAACTGAAATGTCCAATCAGGCCTGCCTCCAACGATTCCCATGCCTCTACCCATTGCTTACGCAAGTGGTTTGAGGACTGGAAGCCCTTTTCCAGCGTCGCTCAATGGTGGATAGAAAAGTGTCCCCGTCTCTAGGCCGAGGATAGCCCAGAGTGGTCCACATCACTGCTCACAACTCTGCGGTCAGCAGTGCAGGTTCGCTTGCATTTGACGCAGTGCTTCCCCATGATCTTGTGAGTTTTCAATCTACACGCCACTCGCCCCGCTGCTCCTTTGAGACACCGCACTCGGCGCACTGCTTGCTGGGCGTGGTATCATGGGAATCATGGGCTGCTTGGACAGCCGGATGCGCTTCGCACTCAGTTCACTGGCGGTCTGAAACTGGGTCCGCCCGTTCTGATTTAGTCTCACGATGTTATTAGATCATCCAGGCATTGGACGCTCTGCGTCGGTAGTTGCATTTTTTGAGCTCCGGGGCACAGTTGGCACGAGAAACCATTGCTCTGACAGGCTTACTTGGCCACAATGTAAGGCCGGCCCAATGAATATGCATGCCTTTTCTAACCCAATTAGACTTGCAAGTGTTGCCGACAATAAAGTGGCGACAATTACGCTTCAATTTGGATCGGACACCCAAATCTACAGCCCTCGCCACATTGATTGCTCAAGGCTTGCAAGCGCACCATCTGCGCATCCTCATCGACTGGTCCGCACAGTCTCTGGCGAGGTTTGCAGCAAGGAAAAGGGACCTCAATGGTGGCCGAGCCCCAGCCGACATGTCAAACTATTGCTCGCCGCACACGTCGATCCAAAAACCCAGCCTTCACCCCTACCGTAAGACCCCCTAGCAGTGGGACCAGACTCTTTGGCGAAAAGAACAAACAAACTCCGACCCGACCGAACAGACGCCGTCGTCTCGCATCCTCGACCGTCTCGTTCAGCGGCTCGCGGCCTGGCGGAGTTCGCAGGACGGGAGGTGGGACCATGTAGCAACGGAAGGAGGTCTGGTCTTTTGTACCAGGACCCTCCAAGGGGTGTCTGTTTTTTAGCTCCTTAGCTGTTAAGGGGTGTCCATGGTAGATTCTATACTAGTTGTAACCATCCGGTTAAGTCACGTTACCAACCAGATGGTTTGTAGAACAAGTCTGGTTAAGTCAGTTGCGCCGTCTACGAACGTCCAACTTCCTTCCGTCTTGAGTCGAGTACCCGACGCCTCCACCGATGCACCAGGTGGTGAATTACCGGAGAGCCATCACCCGGTCACCCGTGATACGAACGAAAAATCTCAACAAGGAGAGGCAGCTGCTTGTAGAACTTCTCAGGCTTTGACTCCCTTGACTTGTAGAACTGGTCGTGATCGTCTTCTCAATTTCGTTTTGACTCACTTAGTTGAACCTCTCAGGCCTGATTTCAGGGAGGAACTCACCACTTACGCACCCCACAAACTGAGTTTCCTCCCTGAAAGCATCATGGAAGTGGAACATGGCCCCTGGAAAGATCCTTTTCCGCCTCAAACCAGGGCTCTGTCCCCTTCCATGGTTTCGTTGACTCACTCGTTTTGGTCCCCAAACCGTCCCCAAACCGGCCCCAACTGGTCCAACCTCCAGGTGGGCCACGGCCACTGAGCCGGTAACAGAAGGTCCGGACCTGGGCGCACCAGGGCGGCGCTTAGAATCTCTTCATTCAGGCGGTGCAGGGATTTCGGACCAGTCCAGCCGGTACAGCTCCAAAAAATCGATGGACCAGGGGCGCAGGGGTGTTTTCGGTTTTGGGGCCTGAAGACAGCTCATCGAAACATCCGCCAAACGGTGAGGCTCCTAGATGCTTCCTCCCCAACCTGCAAGGAATGCGGCTCGATGGGGAGACTTCGGTCCCAAGGGAGTAGACAACACGGCAAGTGGTGCCACTTGAACCGTAGGCTGTGAACCGTCAGTTCGGTACGGTTCAAGAATTCGGGGGAAGACACCAGGCCCCTCCTCACCTTTGGCGTGGCCAGATGATTCTCTGTGCAACGAAGTGACCAGTATTGTTCTCTGTTCGTCAAAGATCCCTACATGAAGAACTGTTATCCCTCAGTCTCCTCCAATGGGTCTCTGTTGAGACTCCCGGCACAAGCCATGGCAAGGCTGGGTTGCAGTTCCGTGTGGAAACAACACGTGCTGAGGAGAATTGGAGCTAGATCGGTCGCCTAGTAGGAGGCCGGCGTACTGAATGACTACTAGTTTCTTCTGGACTGGACCAATAACTTGGGTTCACCCTAGAACCCTGCAACTGACGATTTGCGCGACGCTCGAGAGAGATATAATCCACATGTTCCAGAGAAGGTCATTCTGGGTTGCCCAATGTCGAGCAGACTTCACCAGAACCTCGGGGTGCCTGCACCTGTTTCGGGGGAAGGGTTTTTTTGCGCAAGAGTGAATTCTGGTTCTGGAAAAGAAACTGTTTTTTTTTGGTTCTGGGACAACGATCAGTTTCATGCGACTTCACCGTCCAAAGATCCTTGCGTATAGAGACTGACTCCGCCGTTTCCCTGGAACATCAAGGTGAATTCACCTCTGTTCGTCCTTCTTTCCACCTGCTTCATCGGGAAACCCATCCTCCCAAAGATGGGGTATTGAAAATTCTCCACTTTTAAGGACAAGTATGGAGAGGGAGTCCGTCTCCGTCAGGTGTATCCAAGGGTTGCGAGTCGACTGCTGATCAGCCAACGCCGGGAGAACAGCGGCTGGAGTGCTTGACATGTGTTTTTTTGGAGCAAGCCAAAACCAAGAGAGGTTAAGTGACCTTTTAGGACCTTGCTGGGTTACCTATGGGACAGTCATGGACAGTCTATGGGGAACCTCTGTTGGAAAGCATGTAGCTTGATACTTTTTATGTTTCTTTCATCTTCTTTCTACCCCTCTGGTTGAATGCATCTGCGGCAGCAAAAGCAGCAGAACACGACGCTTGACAAAAGCTGCGGGCATCATCGATGCGTTGGCGATGGGGGAGTCGGACCCTGCAACCATTCTTGGGTTTCAGTCGATGTTCTGCTTCGAGGCGGAACACGACGTGCTCAGCAGGATCCTCAAAAACTGTGCAACCCCCTATATGAACTTGCAGCTGTCTAAAAAGCAAGAGGCACCCCATGTATCCAATAAACATATTAACATGACATCACTCTTTTGAGGGGCTATGGCTACTTTGTGCATGACGAAAATTACTAAAACATGCAAAGTAATTTGATGTAGACTGTTGATTAATAAAGCCCCTCTACTCCTACCAGAATGGTTTACGTCTCCATAATATGTGTTTTCAACCAACAGTCAACATTAGCCTTCCACAGGAAAGACGTTCCAATAGCCAAACTTGGCTCTCATCTTCGAGGCCACACTTCCAACATGCAAAGTGACCCCCCCGTTGGTCAAAGCACATGAAACCCTTCACAGCCACCCCTGCAGTTACTCCTCCTCTGTGTGTGGTTTGACCAAAGCGAAGGATTTCCTCTGACCTGAAGGACCTTGGCCCTAGAAGCCCTCCTGTAGTACTTCATCATGTAGGACATTGCCATAGACCTCAACCGGTGCCAAAACGCACCGGAGAACCCAGCAAAACGGGCACGGAGAACCCGGAGAACCGGTTGAAAGGCGAAGAACAGCCACACAGGACGGTCCAGTTGAAGCCGTAAGACGTGAACCTAAGTTCACGCGAACCTACGTCGTTTTGTGATGCGAAAAAGAATGAAAAAGATCGTGAACCCGAACGGAGAGGACCAAGAAGTGAAACGAAAGAACCCACCGACATGGGGGTGGAACAGCTTCGGGAAGACCATGTTGCCCGACAAACAGGGCGTGAATCCACGTCCATGGTAGTTCCAGGAGAGTACCTTCAATATCCTGCAAAGAAGGACCACAGTAGTAGGTGAAATGTTCATCTTCAGCGCTTCTGGAGGAGGCTCCATGCTTCACAGGAAGCCGGAAACTGATGGTAGTTCACCTCCGGTTTTACCTGGCGTTTCCCTCGATCCCCCCAATTCGCCACCTAGCCATTACTATATAAGAATTAAACAATACAATATTTAACTGTTTTAATTATCTAAAAGCTAGAGAAGTCTTCATTGCTGTCGGCATCATGCAGTGCGAAATGATACCTAAAGGTCCCTCTATCATATATATATATATATACACTCGGGAAGATTAACATGGAACCTGAAAACCACTGGGTTGTAGAGGAAAATAGTCTTCCAAAGGTCCATTTTCAGGTTCCATGTTAGTTTTCGGGAGTGTATATACATATAAATATATATATATATATGTGTGGCAAAGAAACTCATCTGCCTTCGCCTCTGTTTAAGCCCCTCTCCACGTGGGGCAGCAAAGGGGCCCTCTTCAGCTTGGAGTTCGCCCTTGTGAACGTGAGCAGAGTGAAGAAAACGAGCAATGATGGACCTCGCCACCATCTGCGCCCGTCCAGCTTGACCACCATCTGCATTATTCCCTCGATGTGTCGAAGTATCCGCACCGGAAGCGCTAGGTTCGAACTAGTGGATCGTAGGGTCTCTTCGTAGGTGTCCAAACACTTCTTCTCCGCCAGTTCCAAGAAAACCACCCAAACCGGCCAAACCGCTATCCCCCCCCTCTCCCCCGCTCCCCCGCACCGCCCCGACGAGGGAGAAACCGCCAGAACCGGGTGCCCCGAGCACACTACGGGAAACACCCTGCTGGCAATGGATGAGCACCGATCCATCCTCCAGGCCGCGTGCGTAGCTCGTAGCTCAAGGCATGACAGGCATGGCACAACTCCAATCACGCGCAACAAATAGGCTGATCTAACCACTGATATGGAGAGGAAGGCAATATGGGCACTATACTAAGCTACTTATATACCCCGCGCACGCAGTACTCCGCCGCCTCGCGCACCGCCGAGCCGGCGCCGCTTCGCGTGGGCGAGCTCCTCTCGAACGCGGGCCTTTTCCAAGAAGCTCCAGCTCGCCTGGCGGACGAGGTGTCGGAAGTCTCGACGGCGTCGACGAGGCAGTCGCTCAGTCGCTCAGTCGGTCAAGAAAAACGAAGACCGAAACAACAAAAGCGTGTTTTGGGGGCTCCTTTAGTAAGGTCCTCTTTAAAGAAGGGGGCCTTGTTAGAGGGGCCCCTTACCTTCGTTTGCATCGTTCTGCGGCGCGGAGGATGGCAAGGAAGGGTTGCCGAATGTTGTCGAGGCGTTTCCACTGGCCATGAGTTGTAGGGGAGTATTGTTTATCCCGACTAACCTTCTCAAAGTAAACTGATCATGGCAGATTACTTTATTGCTATTGTAAAGAATGCACTGCAACATGAGCTGAAAACCCACGGAACTGGCTTTGTTGTCACTTTCGCAAAAGGCCATCGTGGTCCTTTCGCGCACGGGCGTGGCCTTTCACGGCCAAGGTTTGAACGAAAAACCTCTTGCAACCAAGGCTTCAAGTTTCAAGCCAACAAAAAAAAACGCATTCAATACTAATTCACACGAATTCTGTCTTCTTCCAAATCGGGGCTCCGGTTCTGTCCCCAACCGGACGGCTCTGTCGCCTCGAAGCGGGTTTGTAAGGTCTCCGTGGCATTGTCGCCCATGGAGACCCGGCAGTAGTCGAAGTGGGGGTCCTGGGTCGGGACGTTCGAAGCGTGGCCGGGTGGCCGGGTGGAACATAGAAAAGGGATTGAAAAGGCATCAATGTGTGGCATTCTTGGTATAGGATTTTTTTTGGGATTCTATATAGGATTCTATAGTCTATAGGTATTTGGTTCTTCCATGTCTCCGACCCAAAAATACCTTCCTAGCGGGGCTGTTCTGTTTCGTTTTCGAAAGGACCCGCACCGGCCAAACGATGGACTCCATCCAGAGGATCGCTTTGGGGAGCATCGCACGGCCCATTTCGGCCCATTGAAGAAAAGGAACCGGTCACCGGAATCCGGAGTCTCCACCCAGCTTCGGAAGAACGGTCATGCATCCCAAGGATGGAAAATCCGACCAAAATCAAATTTAAATTGATAGCTTCTTGTTACTACTAGTAAGGCACTTGTTGCTAGTAGCGATGCACTTGTTACTACTAGCTTCTTCCGTAATTATACCCCAGACGGCTTCAAAACGATTCGTTGGGACCAATAGGCCGCAGAGTTCAGGGGCGCGGCCAGTCAGTATGGCCAGCTCTTTTTTTTCGAAGATAGAACCCCAACAGTAAACTGTTTGGGGAAAAAAGAATAGATAGCAAAGGAAGTGCCGTCCATCTCTGTTTTGGGGAGAGAAACATCTCCTGTCGACGATCGTGTTCAGACCTTCTCATCTTCTCATCTTCATCCGTTTTCACGAAGAAAAAACCGGTCACCCTCACGACAGCGACAGCGAAGACAACCGGAAACGAAGACCAACGACCAACGAACCGCGACCGATCACAGTGGGGAGGTTGCGGTCACCCTTTGGTGAAACACGAAAGTGACCAACAGTACAGCGAAGAGCAGAGGTTCAGTGACCATTTTTCTAAGACCCATCACCTGGGAGACCGTCATGGGATAGCCTAGTTCAGGTTCTTCAACCTCTGTTGGGAGTACAGCGATGTTTCAATTGAAAATCGTGGTCAGCTCCCTCTGAGGGTGCGAGTATCTGCGAGTGGTCGACCACTTCCCTGACACGTCCCGGCGTGAAAGACTGAAGGCCCAGACGACAGTTCTGGGTGGTCTCTGAGGTCCCGTATTCAGCACTTAGAGTTGTTGGATGTTGTTGGTATATATACTTGCTCCCGAGCCGGAAATCCGAAAATAACGGTTAACTTTGTTCCACCTGTTCATTTTTCGTGGGGTGTCACCTATCCCCAACAACTGTTAAAGGTTATCCACGGACTGGTGGTGGATACCAACCCACATCCGTTTGGACTCGACCTTCTTTCGACCTCCCGGCTCGCCGGGTCTCGCCTTCTCAAAGGCGTTGGCGACGCCCCCGTTGGAGCGGGGTGGCGTGCAATTCAAGATATACCTGAGCTGCGCAACTCATCCAGACGCCCCCAGGTCGGGCCCGGTTGGTGGCGACCCGTTCGGGCGCAAATGCGACCGGGTGGTGAGGTCCATTTCACCGGACCGTTGTGAGGGTTGGTTAAAAACGCCCTAGATTAGCTATGAAGGTCCAATCTACATCGTTGGAGCAGAACTTCTGCATATTGTGCAGTGGTAGCACTCCCAATACATGTTGGGAGTGACACACCTCAGAATCCTCATCGATTCTTTTTCCTTTCTGAACAGGTCTCGATAGAGGGGGAAAAACCACCATCTGACCCGCAAGCATGCTGGGTGACCCACACACACACTCATGGATATGCGTACTGACTTGATAGCGGTGCCACACGCCGGCCTAGGGTTCCATTTCCTAAGAGTACAGGTAAGGAAACCTAAAAGGAAGAGGAGGTCCATCCAACGGAGGTCCCACAGGTTTCAGGTGGCCAGCAGCTCCAAAAGGAAAACATCGATCGAGCGGACGACCAGGTGACGGCGTTCCGTGCGTGACTGCAGCAACAAGAGAAACATGTGATTGAGGTTCTAGGCTTAGCCTCTTGCCATTCGGAAAAAGAAAAAGGCAGGTACGTTCCGGAGGCGTCCCTCAGGAATATCACAACACGATGGAAGGGTCTTCGTTGGGCAATGCCTTCCAAAGTGTTCATTGCCCCCCTGCGGTAAAACAAATGCAAAAGCATCCCTATGACTCCAAGGGTGACACACACACGCCTCCCCGGAGGGAGGCAAACTTTTAAGCTCCATGCCGAGGGTGAGGTGAGACTAAGAGAACTGATCAACTGAAAAACTAAGGCTCCAACAGGTTCCAATGAACCTAAAACTGGCTTTGACCGCTCTGGTCACCTTATGCCTTGCCGAAATGGCTGGCTGCTTCGACCGCTGCGGTCGCGTAAAGGCATGAGCCAGCTTGGAATTCCAAAAATGAGACGTAAATCATCGGACGTACGGCATTAGCCATCTACTGTCCGCTGTGGACATCTGCGTTCCCAAAGCCGGGGGAACATGGACGTACACCCGTTCGACGGGTCCACGGGAGGCACTCTGCGGGCTCATCCCGGGTTGGCACGAAGCCAAACACACTCATGGATATGCGTACTGACTTGATAGCGGTGCCACACGCCGGCCTAGGGTTCCATTTCCTAAGAGTACAGGTAAGGAAACCTAAAAGGAAGAGGAGGTCCATCCAACGGAGGTCCCACAGGTTTCAGGTGGCCAGCAGCTCCAAAAGGAAAACATCGATCGAGCGGACGACCAGGTGACGGCGTTCCGTGCGTGACTGCAGCAACAAGAGAAACATGTGATTGAGGTTCTAGGCTTAGCCTCTTGCCATTCGGAAAATGAAAAAGGCAGGTACGTTCCCGAGGCGTCCCTCAGGAATATCACAACACGATGGAAGGGTCTTCGTTGGGCAATGCCTTCCAAAGTGTTCATTGCCCCCCTGCGGTAAAACAAATGCAAAAGCATCCCTATGACTCCAAGGGTGACACACACACACACGAGTGGCCCCTGATTTTGGGACCTCCAAACCCAAGGGGATGATATTCCATGGGCACCTCACCGCCACGGGTGACATCGGCCTAAAAAAGGACGTCTCGTTTCTTTCATCCCGCGCGTCGCACTGCGAAAAAGCGTCGAGCCCGTGTTGAGCCCGACGGAGGATATAATATAGTACTTGAGAGGGCGTCGAACGCAGGGCGTCCGAAAAGACTCTGCGCAAGGCGCAGCCCCCGACTTTGCGGGGAAAAAGCGGCCATGCAGATCGTGCAGTCCAGGGAGGTGTGGCGGGGGTGCACGGCACGGGGGGTAGTGCGATCGAACAACAGTACCCCTTCCTTGACTCCTGAATGCTTCAGCCCTAGAAATCTGAAACAACCTTATTGTGTACTAAGCTGGTTCCAATCACGTAAATAATGCTTGTGACGTGCGTGTGTGTATCTTATTGGGACCCTCCCCTCAATCAAGACGAAATCAATTCGATAAGGGGGGTGGGGGGGTGTCCAATTGATTTTATCACGCAATGTCGGGTGGTTATTTTTTGTAGTGATTGATATACATTGATATAAACGAGAACTTCAGACCTCCTTGAGAGCTCGCCTTTCGTGATGGCTCTCTTCAAATTACATGCGCAGGATCTGCGGCCCAATTTTTGCTCTGATTGGCTTTCAGAGATCCACTTGACTACCACAGACTGTTCTGTGTGAAATATTTCAAACACGGCTCCTCGACACAGAAGTTACGCTCAGCACAGAGATTCGAGTGGCGCCAAGGGCAGTCGCACATGCCTGTGGGGACTGAAATGCCCCAGCGGGAGGTTTTGCGCACTTTGTCACTCAGCTTTCCATCATATCTATCACTCCTCTTCATCACGTGCGGTGACTGGGTCCAGAGCGTTTTCTGTGCCTTCACCACCTTCGAGCAATCCATGTCGTTCATGCCTCTCCAAAGCTCTACCATGCCACGATCGCTGCACTTGTCACCACACACGGCCACAAAGTACCTCGAGCGACGTGTGACGTGTCGAAACATGATCATCAGACCATGACGTCTCCGTATGGGTGAGTATGGGCGCGTAACACACGGTGTGTATTTTAAATCCGAGAGATTTTCATTGGGCCTTGGCTGAGTAGACTGGTCTATTACGGTCTATTTATATCATCTATGTCCATTCTTCCAGGGGAGGTCTCCCTGTTTGAGCTACACATGATATCCATGGCCCTGGGCCCTGTGGGTGACCTGGATTCCGAGCAGCATCTGCAGAGTTTGGTGGTTTTGGAGAAAGGGAAGCAGCTTGGGTGCAACTTGATGCAGTTGTGCAGTTGCATGTTGCTCCACTTCGAAGCAGCGCGAAATCACAGACCGAAAAGTCAAATGTTCAGCCGACGGTTTGTACACCGAGGCACCCCCAGTTGCAAGCACCAAAGCCCGTGCAAGACTTGCTGGTCTGACCCAAAGCCCAAGAAACTTTCGGGTTTTTCTCGCAACTGGGGCCATTCAGAAACTTGAGATTCTTGATGACCTTGTGGGTTCTCTCTGTGGTGCGATTGTAGCCTGCGAAGATTGAATCGACCACTGTGCAAAAGTTCTTTTCCTGCTTCTGCTCCTGCTTGGGCTTCTGCTTGCGCCAAGGCAGCCGAATCTGGAATCTCTTTGAACTCGGACTGGCAGGGCTTTCCGGAACCCAAGAGCATGGATGACTTTGAAGAATCTTTTCAGCAATGCTGTTGAGACCGATAAGCATATTGCCCAAAGCTTTGAACTGCTCCAGCGCAGTCTTGAGCTTCCCCCATTCTTGTACTGCTGTGTCCATATCTTTGCTACACTGCTTTCTCTTTTCCTGGTCGGTCTCAAGGGCACAAGCTTCTTGCGGGTATTCGGGGCCCTGGTTTTTGTGGCAAGATCCGTGGTTGAAGGCGGGCTTCGCGGCCATGTTAGTGCGATAGGATGCAGGGCCGACCAGAGCCAAATATCCTTTGGTAATCTCCAAGGTGTAGCCCTCGACGCGCCCACCTTCGCGTTCCAGGTGTTTTTCGTACCAAGTACGAAGTAAGGTGACATCGCTGGATTTCGCAAAGCCGCCTGCCCAACTTGCGGCAATCGAAGTTGGGAAAAATTGTGAAGTTGAAAGATGGGAAAGCTTTTTTGCGGAACACAGTTGGTTTTACCCAACCATGAGGTGACCAACCTCTTTGGTTTCTTTGATCGAGTTGTGCGGAACAGAGTTTGTTGGTTTTACCCAACCTCTGCACAACCAAAGAAAACTTGAGAGGTGACCACAGAGGGTAAAGCAAGCATATGGCTGCCCGACTGGCTGCCCAACACTCAAATTCGCTGAAAGTGACGCACCGAGGCACCCCAGATTCGATAGAGCTCGAAAATCTTCTCCTGCATGGCCATGAAGTCCCATCCCAACTGATCCAAGTGAAAGTTGCGGAGCTCCTGCGACACCGCTGCCTGCATGTCTGCCAGGGAGATCGGAGGTGGAGGCTTCTCGGGGGTTGCGCCCACCAAAAGCGAGAGCAGTTGCCCAGCCAGTCCCAACAAAGGCGAGACCGCTCCAAGCGTGCCGGAGACGGCGGAGACCAAGGGCCCCAACTCTGCTACGGCCTGGAAAACGCCGTTCCACACGGCACTGCCATCGCACTTTCCAGCCGGTGCCGCGATGCAGTTCTTGATGGCGGGAGCCGCTTTGTTGAGGGCCGTCAGGGTGCTCTTCGCTGCCTGGGCCTTGCTCTGGATCTTCTCCAACTGGTCAGCGGCGGGCTTCTTGGCCAGTTCTTCGTTCTGCTTCTTGTCTTCCTTTGAGCAAAACACTGACTCGAAGAAACGAAAGGTCCACACATCGGGCAAACTTAGTGCTTTTCTTTGGGGGTGTGGATCCTGGGAGTGCTGCCCATCCCACTCCTCATCCAACTTCTGCTTCAGGCGCTCGAGCGTTTCTTCTACATCCTGCCACTGCAGCCGCCACTCCGAGGCATTGTGCTCTGCCACACCGCTGACCTGCTGCCGACATGTTTGTACACCAGGGCCCCCTAAGGAGTGTCTATAAATAGTCACTTGCATGTTATGATGTTAAGGAGTGTCCATCAACCACCTCTTGTGGGTTCTGGAAAAACAAGATGGAGCCCACGAACCCGAATGCAAACACATATGTCAATCCACTGTGTATAGAAAGAGACACAGCCGGTTAGATTATCTTTTTCACACTCCGGTACGCTGTTGGACATCATGCGCTGGGGAATCCACCACCAAGGCAGCATGTGCTGGGGACTTCACCATCAAGCTCCGTCTTCGTCATGAAGGGTCTTCGTGTTGCATTCAAA